ACAAGGAAAGCTGCGTATACCATTAAGCCACTAGGACCCGTTTTAATGGCTGACGAATTCTAACTTCTACCACAATTCGTGATTTTAGAGGAACCACCAACCATGACGAAGTTGCCTCGGGTGGAGTTCATTCAGTCGGGAGTAGTGAGGATGGAGTCCCCGCCAATGAAATGGGTTGGTGGTGGCGCCAAAATCATGAATTGGCAGAAGTTAAAATTTATGGGCCATTTAGTTGGGTCCGAATGGCTGAATGGTTTACGGGATTGTCATGTAACTGGAAGGTCATGGATTCTAGACCCAGTGGGTGCGTACTGTCGATCAGTCCTAAACTAGGCTAACAAAACAGCTGCCCAGAACTCTATGCTGGTTTTCTGATAGTTTTCTAACTGATATCAATCCATGGTCTAACTTGAAATAAATAGAAACCTCTATTATCACCGATAATATTCTTAATTGTAGAGAACCGGATTGTGCGTCAGACTGTGCATGGGAGCGAGGAGACAGGAATACGCTGGACGACCGATAAGAAGACTCTAGAAAACCTGAATTTCGCAGATGATATATGTCTAGTGTCACAGAAACTCGAAGACTTGCAGGCGAAAACCAAAAAGCTGGCTGAAGAGGCAGCGAAGACAGGACTCCAAGTGAACATAGAGAAGATGGAGGTGATGAAGATAACCAACGAACCGCAACAGCAGCAACAACAATCAGCACCAGTTACCATCAACGGGAGAGATTTAACAGAGGTTACTTCCTTCACTTATCCAGCTAGGAAGAATCGTTCCAACTACAGGCAGTTGGAACGGACGAAGATGTCAAAGCCAGTCAGAATCGGAAAGGCAAGGTACACCTTCATCAACCTGAAACCAGTTTGGAAATCTTTTACACTAAGCATAAAGGGCAAGATTCACATGTCAATGTCAAGTCGGTCCTTCTATACGAGTCAGAAACTTGCACTGCGTGTAACCAAAAGGATTTCCAACAGGTTGCAGACTTTCATCAACACCTGCCACCTTCGCTGGCTCCACACTGAAGATCAAACGACCAGAAAGAATAAGCGACAAGAAACTATGGGAACAAACCAACTAAGAGCCGACCACTCAACAAATATGCAGAAGAAAGTGGAGGTGGATCGGGCGTACATGGAGGAGGCGGCCAAATGACATCGTACAGAATGCGGGTCATTGCTCGAGTGGAATCCAAATGGGAAGCGACGAGTGGGTCATCACTGCGAGGGTGACACGGAGATCGCCTCCAAAGCCTCAGGATGGTCGGGGGTGGGTGCCTTGCGCTGCGGGTTGGCCACCCCTCCGCACACCTCTTGAAATGTTCCCATATGACCGGGCGACTTACATAGCCTCTCCTGAGGAAGTCCTACTCACTGCCTTCACGTGGCGGAGGTGTTTTTCACCAAAGTGAGAGGGCGAAAGCGGATGCCCGGCGCTCTTCACCGGGTTGACTGTCCATTGGATGACAGTCTAGGGGAGATGGCTAAACCCTGATTCCAAACCTCCAACGACTGGCGTATGAAGCTCACTGGAGCTCACCGGCAGACGTATGGACAAAGGACTTGTTGGATGTCCTGGATGTCTGGCCCCATTCAAAAAGGCGTATGAACCGAACTCCGGTCACCGGCTCCCAATGGATAGTGGACTCCCTACTCCACTCCTACTGTCTTGTAGGTAACACTTGGTTGTGTAAAGGCTAGAGCTGCACTCTCAAAGAAAAGGCCGAGCGATTCTGGGGACATCACTCGTACCAAATTCCCATGAAACTTCATGAACTCTCTTCATCAGATCGCCGCGCCTGGGCAGCGATGATTCGAGATGTTCATGAAGCCGGCTCATCCTCCCGTAGGAGATAGCCGAAGTAAAGTAAGTAAAGATCGTGTGGGGAGGAAGAGATGAGAGAGTTTGGTCAATCGTGGAGCCAGTCAGTTGTAGAGGACGCCAGAAAACATAACAAAGTGAAGATGTGTTGTTGAAGCCAGCTGCATGTTCCACTCGGAACACAGGGGAATAATACTACAAAATAAAAAACCAATTCTTGAAAATCTTTATTGTCTTCCAAGTTGCCTGTATTTTAATTAGTCTTAACCTTACTAGCTCCCCTCATCATTACTCACAATTCTTCTACTTACTTTGATATCCTTCTACCATCATTGAAGCTTTCTCTCTCACCTATTATTAAAATCTACCATGTCAAGAGTTATCTGCATTATATCATAGAATTAACTAGTTACCACCACAATACCTGAGTACTTTTAATAAGTTATTGATCCACACAATTATCATTACTTCTGATAGCTTATAATAATATCTAATAAACTTTTGTTTGCATAAAATATGAACTATGACCAATAAGGTGAAATAGAATTTGTTTCAATCATATACTGCTAATTGGTCAATATATATATATATATATATATATATATATATATATATATATATATTGGTGAGATGGCTCAAAATCGTTGTCCATTGCTGGCGCAGATGCATTCGCATTTTATGAACCTTTATGTTTTTCCACTTTACTATTCTTTCGCTCTCAATTTTCTGACCATTAGAGTACTTTTGAATCCCATTGCTTCCACCATCATCACCTTTTTAGCGTCTTTGTGCGTTTTGAAGAGAGTAGCAACTTGAACTGCTGCACTTCCGTGCAAAGTTCTACGCTGAAACTCGGTCAGTGTGGGAAGCTGTGCAACCTATTACAAAGGATGCCAGAGAACTTAAAGCGATGGAGATGTGCCTTCGAAGCCCTAATGCGCCACTTGGAAAGCAAGAAATTAGTAATAGCAGTAATAATAATAATAATGACAGTAAAACATTTCGTTTCTATACACGGACTAAACAGCTGGAACTCATTTAATGAGTAAACACCTGGAATCAAATAATCTCAAAACATCATGAGACCGCTCATGTAGGAATGAATTTGGATAGCTTAACTGAAAAGTTTTCACTGTCCTTCTCCACAACATTTTCGTTGTAAACTACACTTACATAAAGCATTAAAGGTGACTGACTAGCATGAGCTTGCATTATAAACCAATCAAACTTTCTGTTAGACATTATTACAATTATAACCTTTGTGACTATGGCTTTCTGTAGGGAGTTGGTTTAATTTTGTCAAGAATCAACATTAGTTAAGGATCACAGAAAATAACGGGAAAATGGACAGCTGTTTCGTCCCAGCATGGAACTCTTCAACAGTGCACAGTCATGACCCTGGGACCTACTGACTACGAGACCAAGCTCATTGACCTTTCACAGCCAACTGGGTTGGAATTCAGTGAACTGTGAATTCTGAATTTGTCAACTCGTAATACAGCGCTGCCCTCACATCACTGGGGTCCACACCAATGTCAAGGTGAGGTACATGCCCATCGGAGGCTTCGGTAACGGTAGAGCTATAATCACAATCTGAAAAAGTTAAAATTTACGGGTCATTAAATTCCACCAATCCAAATGGTTGAATGGTCCACCAGCTTGGTCTCCTCGAAACTTGAAGGTCCCAGATTAGACCCCCAGGGGTGGGAGCGTGGGTGTATACAGTCGAAGAGCCCAAAACTCAAACGAAACAGGTGTCCAGTGCTACCTGGGTTTTAATGATCCCTCTCTAACGCTGACAAAATGCAGAGTCTTCCGAACACCTTGATCTGCAATCTAGGAATGTTTGGCATGCGATTCGCTCCCTCTATTAAATGTAAGATGATGTTACACAACTGAACTACAGTGACTCCTAGTTTAGAAATAGGGGGTGAAGTAGTAAAGCCTGTTGACCACTTCACTTATTTGGGGAGTTGCATCCTCCCTGATGAACTGATTCCCGACGAAATCCCAGCATAGATACCAGAGGCTCGTTTGGCACACACCAGCTTACAGCATCCCTGGTTTAGTAGACATGGTATATGGCTACCTATCGACCAAAGGATGAGTGTACTGCTCAGCAGTCCGCTCCGTCCTGCTTTATGGCTTTGAGACCTGGCCATTGAGAGTAGAAGACATGAAAAGGCTAGCTAGCTAACTGTCTTTGATCATAGGTGTCTGCGTTCTATCTCTGGTGTGAGGTTAGGCGTCGGTCGAGTTCTAGGTAAGGAGGGGAAATCAATCGACGAGGCTGTGAAGCTACATCGACTGAGATGGTTAGGACATGTGTTACGCATGCCTAGCCATCGCCTTCTTCGCCGGGCAATGTTAACTGACGTAGGATGGATCAGGTTGGAAAAGAAAAAGCCAGTGGTGGTCAAACCACAACACGACTTCATCAGTCAATGAAATCCACAACAGTTAGTTTAAGCCAGCCAGCCACGTAGGGAGGTGTAGACTTCCTGGTCGGAGTCCTCGGGACGGCAAAAACCAATGAAGGCTGAAGACAATCGGTGATATGGCTCAAAATAGTTCTCAATGGCTGGCGCAGATGCATCCACTCCTTGTGACTTATAATTTCCAATGAAACCATATTGTTCTTCGTTATTGCTATTCCTTTTGTCTCATTTTCCTGGCTACTGTCTCTATTAGGCATTTCTTCTACTTTATTCTCTTGTTTTGTGTGCTACATGGAGGGAGTGTGATGACTTAAACTGCTGCACATCGGTGCAAAGTTCTAATGTCGAAAACAGACAGACAGACAGACTCTAACTAATGTGTTGGTTGGTGAATAAAAATAAATAAAAAAATTGGTAATAATATTACAAAATCCTCCACCGAATCTATAATCTGCAAATTATGAAACATGAAGTCGAAAATAACTGTCAAAAATAATCAAAATAATAATTGACTTACAAATGTCGTTTTTATCTCAGAGCATGAAGTTCTCGCTTTTGCAACAAAATAATTATCTGAACATTGATGTAAATTAGTTGTAGACAAACAACGATGAAATTGTAATGAAAGAGTTTTACAAGAGTATAAATTAGGTGTACGACGACGAATAATTGATAATAGTGGGATTTGCGAAAAACCGCTGGATTTCATCAATGTAGTAGACATTTAGAGAAGTCAGTGAGAAGTAGTCGTAGTAGTAGTGGTAGTACAACAATCTTCTAGCAGTATTTGTGCTAAAGTTCTTATTCGAGGATCAATCTCGGCGTGTGGACCAGATGATTCGCAATAATGACGTGCTATTTGAACTGCAGCGGGGAATCTAGAACCCAATGATATTGATTCTTCAGGAGAATTTGGACAACGCGTAAATAAGTGTATCAGGATAGTTAAAGAATACACAACAATTAAATTATCTGGAGAAGTTGTACAAGCAACAATACACGGCAGATATGTATGATTTAAAATATCTTGACGTAGCAGTGGTGATGAAGCTGCGAGATTACACAGACCACCAAGGGCAAATTCACTTAAACGAGTTGTATGTTCATCAATCTTTAAATCTGAATTGGGCTGAGAAGCTGAAATGCATAAGAAGAGAACAAACCCAAATCATATTCTAGGATTATTTAAGGGTGAATGGAATTTCAAAGAGTCCTGGGTCACTAACTGGCTGCATTCCTACTACTCTAACAGAATGAAGTACACCGTATACAAAGGTAAATCCTCCACTGCTGCGCTCACTGAAGCTGGTGTCCCCTAAAGTACCGTACTCTCCTCACTTCTCTTTTCTTTCTTTCTACATGACTTACCATCTTCAAATGACATTAAATTTGTCAAATATGCTGACGATCTGACTGTATCTTTGTCTGTCAAATGTCAAAGTGACTGCTCCAAACTTAATGGCTTTCTGTCAGAAATCAGCCAGTGGTCCAAGGAAAACGGTCTTACCAAATGCCAAACAGTCAATTACACCTTTAGGCATAAATCCGACCCAAACAAACTGGTTGGCTCTCACGAGGTATGCAACATAGACGGCACTGAAATAGAAACCAAGTCGGAAATTAAATACCTGGGCGTCATTCTATCTACTGATCTCTCCTGGTAGTCTCATATCTTGGCGATTTCTAAGAAAATATTCCGTCTTACCTTCTACATCAAGAAGTTAAGAAATTCTGGTATAACCCAACCCTTACTCCTACAATTCGTTAACTCTCGCATTCTGCCTATTATTCTCTATTGTTCCCCCTTAGGTTTTCCTGGGCTACTGAAGAAACACTATAACATATCACGCAGGATGTTAAAGGTTGTCAGCAGGGTAAGCAATGTGCCACTTAACCAGCTTGTTAATATTCTGATTGACAGGCACATGGACTCATGTGAAAAATGGGCCAAATCCATTTTATCTAACTCACACCACCCTCTTCACTCACAACTCTCCCCTTCCATCTCATCAGGCAAAACCAGAAGCCTATATAGAAAACTATATGCTTGCATCAGCAAGTACAAAAACTCAACCATACCCTACTTAGCTCGTGTTCTGTGTGATAAAGAAAGCATTAGGCGTGACACCTATAATTCATTAAATAGTCAGTAGTACAACTGGACCTCGTCTTTCCAACTCATATCATTTATAGGTACAACGTTTTCTTTCTTTCTTTTCCTATTCTCTCTCTCTTTTTTTCCGTTATGTGCTGCTTTGTTTCTTTCTCTCGCTTATGCCAGTAAATATGATAGCACCTACTTTTCTAACACCTTCAAACACTGTTCAGCTTTGGCTTTGCTACCGACATGCCAATATGTTGTTGTCATAATGAACTGAGATTTCCTTAATCTATGTAGAATTCTATTTATTGATAATGTACTAACTGGATGCAATACTGTAGTAAAAATGCTAAGAATTCCATTCTGTATCACAAGTACTGTTTTGGAATAAAGCAAATTATTATTATTATTATCCATTATAATGAAAGTTTTGACCGCCTAAATGAGATCCACCCAAACATTAAATTCACCATGGAATACGAACACAACGACGAGTTCAATTTCCTGGACCTAAATGTAAAAAGGAAGAAACGATGGAACGGTCTAAAAGTTCATCTACAGAAAATAAACTTGGACTGGACAATACCTTCACTACAACAGCTTTTGTCCTATAAGCTTTAAGCGAGGATTAGTAAGGACACTGTACGACAGGGCTAGGAGGTTATGTTCGCCCAACAAGATAGAAGAAGAATTAAGCTTCGTTGAAAAATGCCTTAAGGAGAACGGGTATCCAAAAGGATTTATCCAAAAGTACAGCAAAGAAAGAGATGAGAAAGAGAAGCATCCAACAGTTGAAAAGAAGAAAGTATTCATTTGCCTCCCATACAAAGGAGAAACAGTATCGCGAAAGATTGAAAAGAGGATGAAAGGAGCAATAAAGAGATGCTTCCCTGCAGCCAATCTGGTGACACTATACAGCACTTCATACTCCATAAGCCAATCGAAACTGGATAAGTACCCTGCTGTTATCACCTCCAACTGCATTTATAAATTTACGTGCACCTGCAATAGCAACTACATTGGAAGGACAGAAAGAAGGCTTTCTATCCGGTTTTCAGAGCATATTCCGAGAAACGTATGCTTAAAAGAAAGCAGATATTTACAAAGTGCAATTACCAGACACCTGGTGGATACGGGCCATTTTGTCGAGATTTCCAAATCCTTCAAAATATTAAGCATACAAAGGACAGTCAATCTACTGCGATTTGCTGAAGCAGTCTTAATCAAACGTCTCAGACCAAACTTATGCACACAGAAAGAGAGTGTACTCAATCTCTCACTCCCTTGGTAACCATATCACTTTCATTACACTGATTAGTCATACACACACTAATGGGCTCAACTCACTAAGCAAGTTTTCAAATTGATGGACTTTGACCTTCTTGAGTTGACATGTTGACACTGTTTACGAAATTTTTCTGTTTTCTGTCTTCTCTCACCCCCTTTTTCTTTTTTTTCTTTTTCTTCATAGTTTGATAGTATACAAATTGATGGTAACTTAAACTATAAATTGTAATACTTATATTTCGGATGCGTTCACCTTATAATGTTTTCTCTATTACCTTTGAAACAATGAAGTATGAAATGTTATTATTTATAACCATTGTAATTTCAGGTAGTTTTCAACTGATGAGAACCTGTGAAATAGAATGATGATATCATTTTATACTGCAAATCTGGTCTTTCTTTCTCCATCGAAATTTATCAAGGGAACCAAATGTATGAAACAAAATCATATTCTAGGATTATTTAGGGTGAATAAAATTTCAAAAGTTTTCTTGTATTTCCCAATGAATGAAAAGGCAAAACGATATTGTTGTTTTTACTGATGTTTCACTATTTAATGCCGCTGCTAATAGCTTTATCAAAGTATTATTAAACCAGAATTTACAAAATCCACTCAGCTTATATATACATAAAAACTTAATCATCGTTCCTCAGTATGGGGTTATTTTTGCGTGGTCAAATTGGCCAATTGGTAAAGATAACAAAACCAGGTGTAGATGCCTGTCGGATTTGATAAGTGTGTAAAATTATAAAAGCAGCATGTGTTCACATAATGAAATTGCTGATCACATTCGTGTTGATTTTGTCACTTCATGGGGGACGACGGGTGTTGTTACCAGATCAAATTCTGTTTTAGTCCATCATTCCTATTCAGACAATTTGGATTCTACTTGATATTCAGTGCTTCTGATGATATTAGACGTTTTTTGTGGCCTCTGAAATTTTTCTGGATTATTTCAATATTGTCAAAATCAGTTTCGTGGCCTGATTCTATAGCGTGTCCACCACCTATGGCTGATAATTTTTCAAGCCTTTCTAGTTCACTAACTGGATTTTTCGGTGGTCAAACAGATGCTTCAGGGTGTTCATTTCTCCTGATTTTGATTTCCCTCTGGCGATGTTTGTCCGATGTAAATCGCATCACATTCCAAACATTTTATTTTACAGACACAATTAGACAGAAAATCTTTAGGGATTTGGTCATTTATATGGACAAGGTTGTTTCGCGGTGTGTCTCAGGTTTTGAAGAAAACTCTGACGTCGAGCTTATTGAGTACTCTTCTGATATCATCTGACGTCTCTGCTCTATATAGAATGAAAACTGTTGAGGTCCATGTTTTCGGAATACGCTTTCAAGCCTACTTAATATCAGTGTTGATTTTGTTGATGAAGTCCCTTGGGTAGTTGTTTTGCTCGAGAGTTTCAGTAATGTTCGATATTTCTTCTTCTTTTTCTTTCTCATCCGTTATCAGAGAGTGTACTCGTCTAAGAAGACTTGAAATAATTGATACCTTTGCGCTGATGTGGCGTGATGATCTGAAGTCTAAATATTTATTGGAGTGGGTTTTCTTCCTGAATATAGATTTACTAAGATGTCCGTTTTCCCTTCTCTTAACTAGCCAGGCGGTCTAGAAATGGTAGTTCACCGACGTCTGATTCTACTTCTGAAGTAAAGTGGATACTGAGAGATAGACTGTTTATTTTCTCCAGGAATGAACTGTGTAGATCTTGTTTTAGCGCTACAAAAGTATCATCTACATATTTTAACCATATTTTAGGCGTGAGTATGTTTGAAAAGATATTATCTTCGAATCTATTCATGAAAAGGTCAGCGACTATTGGGGAGATTTGTGAACCCATAGAGTTATGTTTAAAAAAGAGCTTTTATGAGTATTGTTAAATGTCATTTGAAATTAAGGCAGAGTATAAATGCAACTAGTCAGAGGAGCTACACACCTTCCAACATGGATCAGAACTAAACTCTCAACTTAGTTAAACCATTGGTCATTTTGGCATTTTTGAAGATACGCAGACAACACTTTCATTATCCGTGGTAAAAACGTAATTCTTGATGATGTCTTGTTTGCATTCAACAACTAACCATCCTTCTTTACAATTCGCCATCGAAAAGGAATCTAAACTAAGTATTCCCTTTCTTGATGTGCGCCCTAGTGGACGTAACGACGGATCTCTCAGAAGACCCATCCACCAGAAACTTATATGGAATGAACAACTTACTAGTCTCTATATTTGGGCGCCTATCTCCAGGAAAAGGAACCTAATTCGTTCACTCTGCTTTAGGATAAGAAACATTTGTAGTTCTGACTGCGTTGACTTAGAACTTGACTTCCTAGACGCCACGCTTGCAGAAAACGGCTAACCGAACCGACTTATCGACAGAAACACGAAAGATAAGCAGTGTAAGCTTGTCACTGACTCAGTTCCAAAGAAAACTTTATTCAAGAAGTTGGAATTCAAAGGTGATCAAGGTTATATATATATATATATATGCAAGGTATGCTTGGAGAATTTATTCTGTATAAACGTTATGATACACTCACTATTGGTAATAATAGTAAGTCTATTGAAAATTTTACTACTCTATTCATCCAAATATCCGAGTGACTTCCGAACTAGAATCGAATAACAAACTCGGTTTCCTCGATATTACAATGACCAGGAGAGATGATGGAACGACTCAGCGATCTACTTTTCGTAAACAGACATGGAGTGGACAATATCTTCATTT